AAAAATGCCCTAGGTCAGACAGTTTTAGCACAGAATTCTACCAGACTTTCAAAGAAGAGCTAATATCAATACTCTTCAAATTTTTCCACAAAATAGAAAAAGAAGCAACTTTGCAAAATTCTTTATATGAGGCCACAATTATTCTGATTTCAAAATCGTACAAAGACTCAGCAAAGAAAGAGAATTAAGACCAATTTCACTTATGAACATTGATGCAAAAGTATTCAACAAAATACTTGCAAACCAAATCCAAGAACACACCAAAAAGATTATCTATAGCAGATACAGAGATCCATAGCCAAGCAAGGACCAAGCTGCAGGAATACAGCTGAAGAGGAGAAGGGACTATATGAGCAAGGGAGTTGGGGTGAGATCATGATGGGAAAACCCACAGAGATAGCTGGCCTGAGTTTGCAGAAGTTCATGGACTCAAGACCCACTGCTAGGGAGTCTTCATGAGACCAACCTAGGCCCAAGCAGGTAGGTGACAGCTGTATAGGTTGATCTGTATGTAGGGCCCCTAGCAGTGGAACCAGAACCTGCCCCTGGTGCATGAACTCGCATTCGGAACGTATTACCTATGGTGAGATACCTTGCTCAGCCTTGATGTAAAGGGGAGGAGCACAGTCTTGCCTCCACTTCATTTGCCATGCCTTCTTGACCCCCATGTGAGGCCTTACACATTTGGAATGGAGACAGAGGAGGAGTGGATGGGGAGGGGCAAAGAAGGGAGGTGTGGGGAAGAGAATGGGAGGAGAGGAGGGAGAGGTATTGTTTGAAAAATTTCACCAGAATTTCAAAGAAGAGCTAATACCAAGAGTCTTCAAATTGTGTCAAACAATAGAATCAAAAGACAACTGCCAAACTCCATTTATGAGGCTACAGTTACCCTGAAACTCAAACCAAGCAAAGAAACAACTAAGAAATAGAATTACAGCCCAGTCTCCCTCATGAACATTGGTGCAAAAATACTCAATAAAATATTGGTTAACGTAATACAAAAACACATAAAAAAAATCAAGATGAAGTAGGCTTTATCCTAGAGATACAGGTATGATTCAACTCAGAAAATATGTTAATGTAATCTACCACATAAATAAACTAAAAGAAAAAACTCACACAATCATCTCATTAGATGCTGAAAAGGCCTTTGACAAAATCCAACACCTCTTCATGATAAACATATTGGTAATATAAGGTTTACAAGGAACAGACCTAAACTTAACAAAGACAGTTTACAGCAAACAAGCAGCCAACATCAAATTAAATGAAGAGAAACTCAAAGGAATTTAACTGAAATTCGGAGCAAGTCAAGGTTGTCCAATCTCTCTACATCTATTCAATACACTACTCAAAGTCCTAGTTAGAGCAATAAGACAACAAAAGGCGATAAATGGGATGCAAATTGGGAAGAAAGAAGTCAAACTTTTGCTATTTGCAGATGAAATGATAGCATACATAAGTGACTTTAAGAATTCTATTCATCTGACGATGGATGGAGATAGAAACAGAGACCCGCACTGGAGCACTGTACTGAGCTCCCAAGGCCCAGATGAGCAGAAGGAGGGAGAACATGAGCAAGGAAGTCAGGACCGTGAGGGGTGCATTCACCCACGGAGACCGTGGGACTGATCTAATGGGAGCTCATCAAGGCCAGCTGGACTGGGATTGAAAGAGCATGTGATCAAACCGGACTTTCTGAATGTGGCTGACAATGAGGGCAGACTGAGAAGCCAATGATAATGACACCGGGTTTTGATTCTACTGCACTAATTGGCTTTTTAGGAGCCTAGTCTGTTTGGATGCACACCTTCCTAGACCTGGAAGGACGGGGGAGGGCCTTGGACTTCCCACAGTGCAGGGCACCCTAACTTCTCTTAGGACTGGAGAGGGAGGGGGAGGGGGAGTGGGGGCAGTGGGAGGGACATGGGTGGATGGGAGGAGGCAGGGAATTTTTAATAAATAAAATAATTAAAATAAAATACAGAGATAAATTTAAAATAGTAATCATCTATTTGAAAATGCCTTTTACACTACAAAGTAACTTGGGGAAGGGCTGTTTGAGCACAGTCATTATATTTTCAAAGCATGAACGACATGAGTTTTTTGCTACTTTTTGTGTCATGATGACCCCTCCTGGCTGAGCTGTTCATTAACTTAGATTCATGGAGTTCCTGTTTTTCTGCCTTGAGTCTTTCCAGGTATTAAAAAGATAACTTCAAAATAAGTATAACATAAAATGAATATTTTTCATTATGTGTGAAAATAAAATAAATTTATTTATTTATTGAGAGTTCATTCTCAAAACTAAAATCAGGTATTACCCATTAAATTCATTTCCAGAATTTATTACAATTTTGGGCTTGTGTTTCAGAGTTTAAACTCAAATGGGATAAAAACCTATCTTAGTCAATCCATTTTTTAACCCTTTAAAGACATTTTTAAACATTTAAAATATGTTGTAACTATTTATGTTGTATAGAATCAGTACTAAATAAATCCTCAAGCTCAGAAAAAAAAAAGAATTCTACCAGGTAATTCCCACAGCTGATAAATATCTTCAGTAATGTAGCAGGATACAAGATTAACAAGAAAAAATACAGTAGCCCCCCTATCTACAAATGATAAACAGGCAGAAAAGGACTCAGAGAGCATCACCCTTTACAATAGCCACAAATAATATGAAATATTGCGGAGCAGCTCTAACAAAACAAATTAAAAACCAAAATGACAAGAACATTAAGTCTTTGAAGAAAGAAGTTGAGGAAGATATTAGAAAATGGAAATATCTCCCATGCTCTTGTATAGGCCAGAATAAATTTAAAAATTTGATAAATTAAATAATTTTTAAATTATAAATTAAAAAATGACATTCTTAGCAAAAGCAATCGACAGGTTCAATGCAATCCCCATCAAAATCCCAAAACAATCATACACAGAACTCAAAAGAACAATACTAAACTCCATAGGGAAAAAATAAAAAACACAGGATAGCTAAAACAATCCTGTAGTATAAAGAAACTTCCAGAGACATCACCATCCCTGACATGACATCAAGTTCTACTATAGAGCCATAGTAAAAAAATAAATAAATAAAATAAAATAAACCTGGTATTGGCATAAAAACAGACACCGACACATGGACCAATAGAAACAATTTGAAGACCCTGATATTAAAACACACACCAATAAATAACTTATTTTTGAAAAAGAATCTAAAGCTATACAATGGAAAAAAAAAGCATCTTCAACAATGGTGCTGACATAACTTGATGTCATCATGGAGAACACTGAAAATACATCCATGACCATCACCATGTACAAAACTCAAGTCCAAGTGGATCAAAGACCTCAACATAAATCCAGGTACACTAAACCTGACAGAGCAGGAAGTGGAGGTAGCCTTGAACACATTGGCACAGGAGACCACTTCCTAAATATAACATCAGTAACATAGACACTAAGACAGCAATCAATAAATGGGACCTCCAGGAATTGAAAATCTTCTATAAGGCAAAGAAAGAATACCATAAATAAGACCAAAAAAAAAAAACAACCTACAAATGGGAAAAGATCTTCACCAACCCCACATCTGACAGAGGGCTGATCTCAAAAGTATATAAAGAAATCAAGAAACTAGATATCAAAGTACAAAATAAATAAATTAAAAATGGGGTCCAAACTAAACAGAAAATTCTCAACAGAAAAGTCTCAAAAGGCTGAAAGACAGTTAAGGAATTGCTCAACATCCTTAATCATCAGGGAAATGCAACTCTAAATGACTCTGAGCTACCATCTTGCAGCAGAATGGTTAGAATGGCTAGGATCAAAAACATATTACACTTCTCTCTCTTGGTCTGGTTCCACTCCCTGTAAGCAGCTTTCCTCAGCAGGTATCACATGGCTCTGGCATCTCCAACATCCTGGGGTCTCTGAGACAATCCAGGTTTGACTTTCACAGCTTCATAAAATGGCCTCTCTAGGCCTCCATGCAGTGACACCTGCGACTGGCCTCAGAAGCTTTCCTGAGTCACAGAGGGAGATTTCATAAACTCTTTCTTCTAACCTTCATCTAAAGCCAGAACCATGTGCCCTAAGCAGCCAAGTTCTGCTGTTTTCTGGGGCTGTAATATGACCCCTCTCTCAATGACATATTCACCAGCTCTCTGTTTGCTATGGTTTCCTTTGCTGCCTAAGCTCAGGTTTCCTGGAAATAACTGGCAGAGGGGAAAAAAACCTCTATTCAGAAATACTGTATGTAAGAAACAAACAATTTTTTATAATCAATAAAAAAAATTAAGGGGAGTGTGGTGTTGCTCACTTGTAATCCTGAGCTGGAAAGCAGAGAAAGGAAAATCCCTGGGACTACCATCTTGTCCTACTTGGCAATACACAGGTCACCAAGAGACACTAAATACCAACGTGAGTGGATTGTGAAGAAAAGCAGCAAACATTGTCTCCTGCAGATCCTTCATCTGTGCACACACACATGCAAACACATGCTCACTAAAAAACACTGTACATCACGAATATCCATAAACAATTTTTGTTTTACTAAAAATATCTCAGTATTGCGAAGTACAAATACACAGACAGGCATGGGATTTTCACGTAACACTCATTAAGTAACTGTAGTAAAACGGGGAATTTTAAATTCACAGTATTTTTATGGATCCAGAGAAACTACACTTAGAAAAAAGAATTAAAACTTCAATGGGACATTTGAACTATTTTTGATAGCTGAGAGTAGATTAAGTTAAAAAAAATGTAAAGAGTCAGTATCAGCAAGGAGCTTCCTTTAATCAACCTAAGCATCAGGGAACATTTATGATATAAAGTAAAGAGGAGAGAAAAATAATTCCTGTGGAAATATCAACTTATAGTGTAGAATGAAGTTAAAGGAATCGACAGCACTTGGCAGCAGAAATATCACAAGAATGCCCATGTGTAATACCACAAATTTTATTTAAAATATGAAAAATCTTGATTTTCTATTCGCACTATTACAGACTTTAAGAAGAATATGTCTCTGGAAAAATTAGTTGTGGCTGCATCAGAATGTCGCCTCACAAACATCTGTCTGTCCTGCTCAGGAGGGGGAGACAATGGCCTCTTCTGACATTGTGGGCACCAGGAATTAACAGATACATACAAGCTGACACAATATTCATGAATATAAAAACAATTAATAAATCATTTTATGAAAAATGAGAAAAATTATCTCTTTTTAAAAATCTGATGGCACATAGACTGCATGTGTTTCACCATATTGATTATTCTGCTATCAGAACTGATTTGTACCAAAGGAGTAATTGTGGGATAGACATTCATCACAAACTGCTGAACACTCAGGGTGACTGGGCCGTACATCCATAACAGGACTGCGGTGGATGAGATGATGAAGTCCACCCAGTACATGACCACAAAGAAAACCACCAGCAGCAAAATGGTCTGGGTGGCCCTTTTCTCAGGGGATGTTCTCAGGTGGCTGTGGCTGTGAAGATGCTTGAGTTGCCTCTGATGTCTGAACAAGATGATCACTATGTATACACTACTGGCCAACATGACTCCTACAAGAAATAAATCTATGGAGATTGCCACTGTTAAAATCAGTGCCCTGATGATGTAGTTCATGGGAAAGAGTGAACAGAATTTAGTGACCTTCATCTGGTTGGTCTCACTCACGTTGGTAAAAGCACCAGCATAGAAGATTCGGGTGCTATTGAATAACAAGTTGAAAGACCAAATAAATAAGAAAGCATAAATCAGGTCGTGTTTTAGTTTATATTTAAATCTTGCCAACAAAGAGGAACTGGGACTGATAGTGACAGCCTGGAACACACTCAGGAGGCAGGTGATGCACATGGAGAGGCCTCTCATCACCCTGGTTATGTAAAAAGTTGTCTTACATTTGAAGTCATTATCAATGTTTAATGACCCAAATATGTCTCTAAGCCAAATATCCATTCCAGTGAGGAGCAGCACTATGTGGATGAAGGTCAGTTGACAGGAGATCATGTCTGTGGGCTTAGGTCTGTAGCTTAGAATTGTGAAAGTATAGAAAACAAGGAGAAACAAATTGGTCAGGACCCCAAATTCAACTTGGAAATTAAGGACAATCCTTAATGAGGACATTGGTAGAAATTGTATTCACCTTAAGAACATGAAATAAAAAAAGGATATTTATGCTCTGGCAATGCTGAAGCATGCATGAGCAGCCCATACGTGGTGGTTCTGTTGACCTTGTCCATATTGGGCTTCATGGTCTAAGTTGATGAGGACGACTGACCAGGTATCTTCCTCAAAAGGGCAACAAATCCCAACACAAAGGGTTGTGGAAATTTATTTCAAATATCTGAAAAAAATAATAGAGTGTTCACCAAACTTTTGATTAACTGGTCAGTATGTCTGTATCATCATTCTGCTTTGCCTATTTATTCTTAATTAACCCATATCTTTAATTTTTGAAGTTTCACATTAGACATGGCCTATGTTTCTAAATAGCCTCAATGTTTCTCCTGGATATACAACATATTGAGCATGATAAATGCATTCTTAGCCATATCCGAATGCATACAGAATGCATACTTTATGTGCTTGTATTGCACCTAGACCGCAAGGCTTAGAAATTGTATCCTACTGATCTGACTTACATTGCCTCATTTTACAGATAACACTGAAAATGGCAATGATGAGAATACAGGAGCATAATCATATTTGTACAACTGATTAAAAATTATGTTGATCTGGGGAAAAATCACAAAAGATATTCTAAAGAGCGAGGTGAGTCAGTTTTATATTCCATAATTTTAATAACCTCTATTTAAACTCTCCATGTTTTCATTCATAATTCTGATGGAATCGGAGTTGATAATTCACTATTTTTTTATTTTTATTTTTCAATGAACTCACCACCCCAGAATATGGGATTAAAGGCAATGATACAGTTGGAGGCCATTAGTGCACTTTCCACACCATGTTAATTATGTAACCTTTATTGTTATAAATGCTCCTAGATGTGTACCAGTTTACTTCCCATCCCATTTAAAACTTGTGTGAACTCTACTTGTGGTTTAAAGAACAAACACTCAGCAACCAAGACAAATATTTTTCACAGCAGGTCAGTGGTGGGGAATAAATCATTAATCGTATGATTCCTTCGGGGTTTTCATCCATCCTTAGTTATTTTACCTACTGATGTCCATCGTCTGTATTTATTACCTCCTCTTTAACTAAGAAGCCCCCATTTTCTCCTTTTCCGTATCAAATCAATTGTATCCTCCTACTCCCCTGTACCTTCCTCCAACCTCCTTCTATAGGAACTTCCTTCCTCCCTGCTAAGGAGCCCACCCTTTCCCATTTCCCTGATAAGATCGCTTGTACCCTGTTATTCTTCTCTCCATTGTTACCCAAGATCAACCCCATCTTGGCCATGACCCCATTTTGCTTTCCTGATATCTGTAGTTTACACAGGCTAAATACTCACATCTGAAGATGTGGAGCTAGAAGTCCCCAACAAGAGAGAGCATGTGACACTAAGAATAACACTATTTTCAGCACATTGTGGCAAACATGAGCTTGCCAAAGATGACCACATAGTGATCCTGTTTTAGAATCTCTGTTTTAAAAGAAATTCCTTCCCATGCAGTGGAAATCAAGGGCCCCACTGTCATCATACATCATCAACACACAGACAGTTTTTATAATTTCAACAAATAATCTTAGCTTTGGTGCTTTTGTTAGTTATTTAGCCTGGTTACCAGTATCATTATTTTATCAAATTAGTATAATTTGTTACTTTAAAATCAACTCTGTGATAGAAAAATAGAAACTATACCAACTAAGATTCTTGCAAGAAAGAGTGGCCAACTGTAATTTCAAGTTCACTTGTATGTTCCATATATATAAGTGCATGTATATATAGAAATAATTCAGAAGTCAGTAAATGAGACCTTGCTATAGCATCCCCATGAATATGCCAACATAAATAATATATTCCACACATATACAATATATTTGATCTTAAAAAGCTTTATCTAGTAAAGGAATAGATTCAGTCTAATTGCCAGAGCCAAACATATGATTCTCCCACCAACATACAGTTATAGTAGCTCCACAGTTTTTTTTTAAGTTCTAGGACACAAGCTGGAAAGAAAGCACAGTGGTTCAGAGCATGTTTTACTCTTGCAAATAACCTGGGCTACATTCCCAGTAATGACATGGTGGCTCATCACCCTCTGTAACTCTAGTTATAGGGAATCTATTGCCTTCTCTGATATTGCATGCAAGTGGTACAGAGATGTACATGCAGGTAAAACACGAATATCTGGAAAATAAAATAAATAAATATTAAAGGAAGAAGGAAAAAGATGAAAGAAAGAAAGAAAGAAAGAAAGAAAGAAAGAAAGAAAGAAAGAAAGAA